CATCATCCTCGTCATCCTCTGCTGGTGTGGCTGGCTTCTTGGCCGGGGGCTCCACTTGGCGCATGGAAGACATGTGCTGGGTCTGCGGGGCTGTGGCCCGGTGGCCAGGCGAGCTTGTCTCCAGCACTCCAGCTTGGAGATGGCCTGCTGCAGCTCCTGTACCACGCCGCGCAGGCTCTGGTTCTCCACCTCCAGACTGGCGATCCGGACGACAAGCTCGCTGTGGTCTCCGCTGGGGCCGCTGGAGGCCCCGGGGCCTGAGGTTCCGGCCAGGGATTTCTGGATGTTCTCTCTGGCTCTCGCAATGTCACGAAGGATCACGCTGGCGCCATTCTCCTGGCGGGAGGCACCGGCCACAGGCCCGTTCATCTGCTCGTAGAATCTCCTTTCTGCATCGTCATGTTTGAACTTGTCAAACCAGATCTTCTCATGTACTAGGAAGTTTGTAGCCATTTTTACGCCAGCCAAGGACGCGGCGACCAGGGAGGAGGAATCGGCAGACGCGGGATGCCTGAGGAAAGGGCTGTATTTTTGTATTTTTAAGTTTTGTTTGTAGTCTGTAAATCTTCTTCAGTCTTTGGATTAATGTCTTACTCCAGTTTGGGAAAATTCTTGGCACTATTCATTACCTCTTCATTTTTTTCTCTGTGTTTCAAACAAAGAGTATCTGTATCTTTACCTTATTCATATTTTCTTCTATTTTATTTTACATAATGCTGAATATTTTAAGGTCTTTATCTCTTAACTCTAACATCTGCATAACCTATAGATCTGCTGTTTCCTCCCTCGAGTTTTTTGTTTTATGGTCTGTGTCTTGGCATGCCTGTTTTTCACTTTTTACTTTTATTTAAGGTAATGCTGCATATTATATTTGAAGAAAAGGCAGAATCTCTGCATAATGTCACCTTCCTTCAGAGAAGTTTTCATTTTCTTCTAGTTGGCAGATACAGTACAAGCAGATCACTATGATCCAATTGGAATTTCACAGCTCCAGGGCTGTCTTTCCAGTTTTTTGATAGTTTGTCTATTCTCAGTTTGCCTTTATGTCTCGAACATAATCCTTCAATCATCCCAACTAGAAGCCCTGAATATATTCCAAGTGGCTTTTTCTCTGGCTGACTCTTAATTCCTATTTTTCTCTCCCTGTCTCAGACAGCTCAACCTGCTGTAACAAAATACCATACACTGGATGGCTTCAGCAACAACACTTATTTTATCAATGTTCTGGAGCCTGGAATCTGAGACCAGAGTGCCAGCATAGTCAGGTTCTGGTGAGGGCTCTCTTTCTGGCTTACAGATGGTCATCTTCTTGCTATGTCTTAAATGGCCGTTCCTTAGTGCCTGCATGTGGACAGTGATTGCTCTCTTTCTTTTCTTATAAGGCTACTAATCTCATCATGAGGGCTCAACCTCATCATCTAATCTCATTCTAACTACCTCTCAAAGGCCCAATCTCCAAATACCATCTTATTGAAGGCTGGCACTGCAACATATAAATTTGAGGGAGGTATAAACATTCAGTTGATAACATGCCCAACCCAGTGAGACTGCCAGAATGTCTGCTTAGCATTTTAGTCTTTGAGTAGCTACATTGTGCTTGGCCTTTTTCCCTATACACACGAAAGTTAAGTATATCAAATGCTTCAGTGGAAATCATGTGTAGATGTTGGGTTTACTTCTCTAAAGTTTTTTTATTCATTGTCATGATCCTTCACATTATAGCTGCTTTAGTTGCTGCCTGGTGATTTCAACATCTGTATTGTCTGTTTTATTCAGCTTTTATAGTTATTTTCAGCAGGAGTTTAGTCTGATATAAATTAATCCTTTTAATCTAGAAGCAGTAGTACACTCTTTGTTTTCTGAATTGCATAGTGAGGAGTACATAAATGCAAGACAGAAATTGTTTCTAGTAATAAGATTCTATAATTAGGAGAACTTCTTTTGTGTTCTCTAGGAATTTATAATGCAGATAGCATTGATGTCTCTCTCATTTACTCTTCTTTTACTACTGGCTTGCAAATTAATTTTATTAGGGTACTATTTGACCAGCAAAACTCTACTTGCCAAAACTGTACATTTACTCTTTGAATCTATTTTGGTTAATGTCATGTAAATAAAAAAGGGGGGTCAAAAATAAGTTTGTATTAAAATGGCAAAGGATGTCTTTGGTACATTCACCTTATGTAGCTATTATGAAACAAGAAATAATTTGAAAGTAAGTCAGCTATGAGTTCTTGGAAGCAAAAGTCTTATATTACTTAGTACTTTCCTGTTTCTACAACATTCAAGGTTCTGTACTAAGATAGATGATAGATAGATAGATAGATAGATAGATAGATAGATAGATAGATAGATAATTAGATGATAGAATTTAAAGAGAAATATAAAATGGAAGCATAAAGTGAATAATATTTAAATTTCTACTCATTGTTCCATCAAGAATGGAAGTTTACAAAATTTTAAAGATAATGTCTTTATTTGCCAATTAATAAGCATATTAATTTTATGTCAAATCACTCAATATATTCCCAGAGAGTTTGAACATATATGTCCAATTCAAATATTCAATCTATAAGGAATGGGCCATGATGCTTATTACGGTTTCATGTCACTTTCATGTGTTTACTGTGCTATTTCTCACCAGGCTTCAACAAATTACTGTCACCTACATAGCATTAAGATAATTTCTCATTGAAGATAAGTAGCAACAGGAAAGCTACTTAGCATGTGGCTTGTGGCTTACATAGATTAATCCATTCCCTGCAAGTATTATCTTGTTCTCTTTTTAACAATTGGGAAACGAGGACAAAGATTAACTCTGTAGAGCAGAAAGAATAGCAGTCGTTTAAAGAAGAAATGTGCGTGGGTAGTCATCCCACTTATAGGATGTACTTCCTAAGCCCAAACTAAACCAAACCATCAAAGCAAAGCAACTAACCAGGTAAATAAATTAAATAACTCAAATTTAAAAGGTTATACTTTTTTTTAACTCTTGACAGGGAGAAACTGGAAAAAATGTTATTTAAAGATACAGACTACTTCTGCTTTCTAAGGCATGGAAACTGGAACTTTCTGGAGATAATTACCTTATTGGGGAAAGGAATATGTGAAGAAGCTACTAGAAAGATCAAGTATCTATTTACTGTTTTGGGGGAAGGCTTTTTATCTACAGTATAATAACCCAAATACTGATGCTTTGGGTTGAGAAATTAAAATTCTGGTTAGTAATATAAATAGGATTAATTTTTAATAGATCTTTGTCATTCCAGATTATGTTAGTATGATTTATGCTTATATGATATTGCTGGATTTTGGTAGATATGCATGCTACTACCTAAACTGTTGCACACAGGAGGTAAGGAAAAGATCTCAGAAAGAATTAGATGGTTGCATAGGCCTGGTCATAATCTCATGCTGGAGAACAACCTTTGATATAGAAATATATTTTGTTCAATTTGACGGAAGGACTAAAGTCTTCCAGATGGTGTTATTCAAGATTGAATGACCTGGACTCTGAAAATTATAATGATGCCGAATAACATATTTGAGATATATACTGATGATAATTATAAAAATATCTTATGGTCCAATATATTTTGGATATGAAAGGGCAAAGAGCATATCACTGTGTGTAAAGTTGGAACTGCCTCTCAAGGGAAATGGCATTCCCAATCCTGAATAAAAATGACTGTAGGAGGTGGGGCTTTGACTGGAGGAGGGGGAAAACGATTTTATTTCTGGAATTCAAGGAACTGGAGCTAGGATTCTGGAGAAGGGAGTATAATTATTGGGTCTTCCACTGGGCAAAGCAGTCTGAACCCTATCATAGTCACAGTCCAGAGATTAAATAGCCTGGCAGATCTATGAAACAGTGAGATCACAGGCAGCTAGACAAGAAGTTGCCTACTAGGGGATCAGTGATGAGGATCTTAGGACCATGGTCTCTTTCTAACAGCAGCATATCTATGTTTAAGTTCTCTGTATTGTAATTTCCTCCAATTATCATCAAAAATCCTCTAATTCACCTCTTAATAAAAGGGTTTCCATTCATGGTCTGTCTGAAATGGTGCTAAGAGAGCAGCAACAGCCTAAGCAAAGTTTTCAGGTTAGTAAGAAGCAATGTGCTGGCTAGAGGGACAGACAACAACCTGGATGGAGTGGCAACAGCTTACTACCCCCAAAGAGGTTCCAGAAGTTCTTGACAAGGGTAGGCTTGTTAACCTCAGCTCTTCCAGCACAGAGGTGTCCTGGAGACCCTTGACAGTGACTTTGGTATGAAAGTACAGAGGGACCTCACAGACTGGGGAATCCTCAGACATCGGAAGAACACAACAGAAAAGTTTTCATGGTTAAAACAGCCCACTACAGAGTGAAAATTAAAACTCCATGCTTTTTATTTGTTTGTGAGACTTTTGCGAGTTTTTATCGCTGTAGATTCTTTTTTGCAACACTGATCAATTTTCATTTTAAATTAAGAGTGTTTTTCAGATTTACATTCTGATTAGGCTAATGCTATAGTCAAAGATGCTTCCTCTCTTTGAAATTGTAAGTATTTCACTTACTGGACTAATTATGATGATTAGCAAAAGTTATTAGCTGTTAGTCTTTGCAGTAAGTATTTCACTTACTCGACTAATTATGATGATTAGCAAAAGTTATTAGCTGTTAGTCTTTGCACAACTTGACTTTAACAGACTAACACACATGCGTATACTTTTGACTGATTTACACTAATTTTGCATGCTTATTTAAGCCAGTGTTTTTCAAAATTCCAAGAATTTAGGATTGTATCAAAATAACACAAGGTACACATTAAGAATACAGATTCCTGAGTCATGTCCCCCAAATTCTGATTTAGAAGGGCTAGTCTAGGGCTCAGAAATTTGCAATTCAATATCTCCTTTGTGTTTATTATGTCAATAATGTTTGAGAATCACTGCCAGAGGCTTCTCCATATGTTGTACATTTATCACTTTTAAAACTCCCTTAAAAAGTGAGCTTCTTTTCTCACTGTAGACGCTCAGAACTAAAACACTGGAGGTTTTTTTTAAATGTAAATACAAAATCAAAACCTGATAAAATGCAAGCAGAATCAGATTTTTTACCAGTGCAGTAAAACTACTTGAATTCCTATCGAAATGCTGGTTATTGTGAAGTTTTGGCCCCATTTTTATAGCATTGTAATACCACTTGAGATAAAGACTTAAGTAGCTTCTGCCAATCCCCATGCTCCTATCACTGGCTCAGATCTTCTGCCACTGTGCCATCTTTGAAACAGCTTCCAAAGAGGTGAAATTATTGTGCAAATCCTAAGAACTGATGCTTCTTTATCCTTTCTGCTTCTCTGATCCACTGGCCACATTAGATGTACTCACACCACGGGATGATAGTTTTTCTCTTAGAACTAGAATTTCCAGCCTGTCATGAACATTTATTACAGATATTTTTTGAGACAGGGTCTTACTCACTCCGTCACCCAGGCTGGAGTACAGTGGTGTGAACATGGCTTACTGTAGCC